GGGCTGTGTCCCCACAGGGTCCCCAGCCCATTTCTCCCCTCCATCCCAACGTGTTCATGCTGGGCGTTAGTTCCCCTGGCCCCTCCTGGCCTCCCCTTGGAGGGTGCTCTGGGCAGGCTTTGCCATGCGCTTCCCTGCCCCTGGCGTTGGTGTTTGCTCAGAAACTGCTCTGCCCTGGTTGCAAAGGCCAAGGCACAACCAGGAGCCTCCTGCTCCCCTTGCCTTCCCTCAGCCCAGTCACCTCTGCTGTGCTCACCTCGGCCTGGGAGGAGGAGGAGGGGTCCCTCGTGTGCTGGGACCACCCCAGCCAGTGCCCCAAAGCCAGCTGGGCACTGGGGCTGTCCCTGCCTGTGCAGCCCTGGCACCCCGTGTCTCCTTGCTGCAGGGCGTGGGGATGCCGAGTATGGGGACCTTGAAGACGAAGGTAAGACACTGATGCCATCGTCCCAGTGTAGCTCTGGCCCTGGCTGCCTCAGCATTGCCATGGCTGTGAGATCTGCTGCTGGTGGAGGGGGTGTCTGCACCCCCAGGGGATGGGACCGTGCCCTTGCACAGTCCTGCAGGTCCTGACAGCACCGTCTGTCCTTCCAGGTTACTACCTGTACCTGGACGAGGACGGTGAGTAGAGCTCCCCTCCTGTGATCCTGGCTGTCCTCCCCATCCACCCACAGACCTCAGTGGGCCCTGTGTAATCTGTGCTGGGGTTCACAAGAGCCCAGGTCCCAGTTTGGCTGAGCCTATGGGGCCTTCTCGGCCACAGGCAGCCCTGGCAGCCCCAGCGTGGGACCCCCAGGGCTGCATGTTGGACTTCCACACAGCAAAGTGGATGCCCAACCCATGCTGGGCAGAGCTGGGTGTCCACCCAGGGGTGTCCCCAAACATCCCCTGAAACCGGGCTCAGGGGAAGAGCTGGGGGGGTGAAGTGGCATTCCAGGGTCTGGCTGGTGCTCTACAGGACCGCCAGAGGTGCTAGGGGGGGCAGCCCGCTGCCAGGACACCTACCAGGACTGGATCTCCCTCTACTGCTGGGCCCCCTTCCACGCCACCCTCATGGCTACCCCCCCGGCTTTTTTGCTGGGACCAGATCAGCAGGTGGGTTGGTGTCAGCCCCGGTGGTGCCGAATGCACACTTGGAGCGGGACCTTTGCAGGGCTGCTGCGGTGGATGTGTCACCGGCCTTACGCTGCCCCCTCCGCAGCACCTACAGCGAGCTCTCCGGCTGCACCCAGCTGCTGGCCCAGCTGCTCTCCTGCCCCTGGCCCAGTGCCGTCCTCGACGCCTTCTTCCTGCAGGTCCACGCCGAATACTTCACCAACTGCACAGGGGCTGAGCCCCCCAGGCTGGGCGAGCTGCCCCCTGGGATGGCTGTGGCTGTGGCCGTGGGGCTCAGCTGCCTTGTGCCCCTTGCCACTGCCCTCACGCTCAGCAGAGCCTGGAGAGGGGCTCAAACCCCAGCGGGCAGCTACCCAGCCCCTGCCTGCCCCTGAGGGGCTGGCAACTGCCCCTTTCCCTCCCAGCCCTGGGAACTAATGAGTGGGATGAGTGGGCTGTGGGTGAAGGGGACAGGGCAGAGCAGGGTCGGGGGTCTGGGTATCCCTGAGGATGGAGCGGGTCCTGTGGCATGGGGGAGGCTGGGCTGGGGGCTCTGGGTTCCTGCATCTGCCCGGGGCGGGGGAAGCATTGAGAGAAGGGTCCCGGGTGCTGCGGTCCTGACCCTGCATGGGCTGAGCCCCCTCCTCAGCACCCCAGGGTGGGGGCTGGCAGGGAGCACCAGGGATGCCAGGCTGGGGCAGGGAGCCCCTGGCCTTGGCTGGCAGGCACCATCCTGTCCCTGCCCA